ATTTGTCCATTTTCTCTTTTGATGTCATCTACCATTTGCAGGATTGCGGAGTGTTTTGCTTTTCTTGTTTGTACTAAGTGGTCTAATCCAATGATCCATAGACGGCCTTATCATGAAGAACCTTGTTCATCCTCCACTATGATTAGATACCGTGATTGGAACAGTAGCCTTCTTCTCTCTTCTATGGAGGACCATGATCAGGATAGGCTTTGCTCTCTGCAAGACATAGGAGGCCATATAATGAAAGTTCCTCTAGTAGTTTTCCAGGTTCTGCTATGTATGCATTTGGAGGTATGTTGGATACTTGTAGAAAATTTTGCTTTATGAAAATTGTTTATTAAATAACTGAATATGTTTATTACATAGATCTACTTGATGCTCATTCTGAGATGTCAGTAATTGTCTGATATTTCAGGGAACACCACCTGGTGCTCGACATATTCCAATTTTAGCACTTTTCTTGCCATTATTTCTATTGCAAGGTGCTGGTGTCTTATATGCTGTTTCAAGATTGGTGGAGAAGCTTGTTCTTTTAGTACATAATGGTACAGTTGATAGTAGATATCTCAGAATTTCATCCAGAGCTCATGATTTCTTTGCGTTCCTACATCATGGTTCAAGGTACTGTTTTTTGTGTCTACCTTGTGATTATGATATGTAAATAAGAATAACAGCTTTTTTGTTGCATCATTGTGATAATTATTTTAACTAATGCAGATTACTGGGCTGGTGGTCAATTGATGAGGGAAGCAAAGAAGAGCAAGCTCGCTTGTTTCATGCTGAAGCCACTGGGTATTGCTCACATCATCTAGATACTTATAAATTGTTTCTAACTGGTGTATTGAGGAATTTGACTTCTATGCTTACTCAAAACCAATTATAACTAAATTGTTGAACAGTATTGGCTTGATTTCTGCAATAGTGAACTTAGATCTGAGCAATACCAAGGATATGAATGGATACAACAACAAAAAAGCTGTAACTCCCAACAACAACAACAAGGAAATGAGCATGTGTTATGGAATTAAATATTGGGAGGTTTATTAATGCAACTGAACAAGAAGGTTTTGTCCAAACTAAATGGAGGTTTTAGGGCGTTTGGGTGGAATTGCAACCTCAAATGATTTTGTCATAATGTTTTTGAAGAATATATGTTTATTGAAGACTAGGAGCACTGAAGAATTTGAATGTTAATCTTCTATTTCCCTGTACCATAGTATTTCAGAATTTGAAATATTCTAGAATTTCAGAAGAAAAGACCTGATTGTCTTATTTGATTCCAGATGAAAACTTCTTGTTCATCCTAGCAGTGGAATATTTTTGGTAATAGTTGCAACTGTACAAATTAGCATTACAAAGTGCCCATGCCTTGATGGCGTTAGTCTTTGGTATTTTTGGTAATAGGAGCAGTACAAATAAACAAGCAAGTGTACAAATTAGCAGTACAAATTAGCATTACAAAGTGTCTTAGTCTTTGATAGAAGCAACTGTTCCCGAACATCAAGCAACTGTACAAAGCAGCTGTCTTAGTCTTTGATAGAAGCAACTGTTTCTAAACTTGGATAAATCATTAATGTTCGGGAAATTCACAAGTTTTCTCAAAATTAAAATTCACAAGTTTGTTCATAATATCTACTTTACAAAAATTAAAGGGAATGTCAACAGGCATCCACTTTACAAAAATATCCAAAACAAGAGGGAATGTCAACAGGCTTCTTCAAGATGTGGCCAAGCATTTTAAATTTAGTTTGATGATAAAAGAGGCCGTGCCCCTTCTTTTAGCTTCATGGACTGCATTAGCTTCTTTTAAGCCTCTTGGCTATCAGTTTTGAACATCCAAAATGTAATTTGGATCTTTGATTTATCCAAGTTTTACTGAGCCTCAGGGTTCAGTAACATGGCAGCTCTTCCTAGGATCAGAAACAGTGCCTTGATGGCGTTAACTAGTTAGCATGACTAGCATCTATCTGCTGACCATCTAGTGTCATCTGCAGGTATAACACCTTTGTTGGGTATCCACCTGAGGTTGTGAAAAAAATGGCAAAGAAGGATCTTGCTGAGGAGGTGCACTAAATTTCTTTTTTGTTGCTTGTATGAATTTCACATGTTTCTGGCAACTCTCTTAGAGTTGCAGCTACTAAATACCAAATTCATAACATTAACCTTTGCAGGTTTGGAGACTGCAAGCAGCTTTAGGAGAACAATCTGAAATAACAAAGTATAGCCAGCAAGAATATGAAAGGCTTCAGAATGTATTGCTTCTAACCTTATCTAGTCTTTTATTGATCACTGTCAATATTTTTCTTGATACTACTGCTTTTTTTCCTCTTTTGTTTTAATTTTTTTTATTTTTTTGCTACTTTGTTGTCATGATTTCATGATTTTGTTGTCATGATTATGGTTGATGTCTAGTTTGTTTGATGTAGTTCATGCTTGATGTCTAGTTCATCATGTCTAGTTTGTTACAGTGGTTATCAGCTTTGTTCCTTCAGTGGCTTAATTCAATGTTGAGAAGTGTCCATGCTTGATGTAGTTCATGCTTGATGTCTAGTTCATCATGTCTAGTTTGTTACAGTGGTTATCAGCTTTGTTCCTTCAGTGGCTTAATTCAATGTTGAGAAGTGTCCATGGAAGATACCGATACAACATTTCTAATTAGCATTAAATTCATTAGGCAATTTTAGAAAATTGAGGTACTGCTTTGATATTAAAAATTCTAGTTGGTGCATAGTAATTATACCTGTTGGTTGTGGATCATGCTCCCACTTTCTCATGATCAATTTTTCTAAAAGAATAGGGCAAATAGGGGATAATGAGAGGGAGGAGTCGAGAGAGGGAGGATGGTTGTCGTGGTCGGTAGAGGCTCGACGAGGGTATGAGGTTTGGCAAGGGGTGGGGAGTTATTGGGGAGGCTCAGCAATCGGATACAACAACAAAGGAGAAAGTAGTTTGATGTCACTAGTGTTAGGTTACCCGAGGTGGAAGTTGAGGGTCAATCTTGCACATGAGGGAAGTGGTGGTGATCAGTCATATAATTTAATTAAACAAAGCATTATCAGGTTCAGGAGAAGGTGCTCGAGCAAAGCGTGCTGCACCCAGTTGAAGGTGCTCGAGCCCAGGGTCGCCTCATCTGGCTGCTTGATGACTCGTCTATTTCTGCTTACAACGACTCTTCTGTACTGGATTTCTGAAATTCGTGTCTGGATTTGCTCACTGTCATTTTCAGGAGAAGGTGCTCTGTAGGATTTGCTACGAGGCAGAAATATGTGTGGTTCTTCTTCCATGTCGGCACCGGATCCTTTGCAAGTAAATATGTGTCTTAATTGTAGAGTCGGGTGTACTTTTCTGTTTTTTGATCCTTGAACTTCAATTGTGTATAGGTCCTGCTCAGAGAGGTGCAAGAAGTGCCCAATATGTCGCGTCCCCATCGAGGAGCGGATGCCTGTATATGATGTTTAAAGCTCTCCCAGATCAGAAATACATTATCATCCAAAATTCCTCAGGAAATTGTGTCCATAGACTGATGTACAAAAAGATAGAGCTACTCGAGTGCTTCAACTCCATTTGGCATGGTGGTAAATATATCTAAATTCACAGAAAAGTCTTCCGATTAGGTTCGGTGGTGAGTTTGTAGTATGTGACCAAATCAAAAAATGATTGGGAACTCTGTACATAAAAATTTCATTCTAATTGAATAGCGTTTTAACATTTGAGAAAATGAGAAAAATTAAGTGGTAATCGTAGGCCAAAGCGACCCAGACCAATCGCATATTTCGAATTTGATTCGTATTTTAGATCAGGTATGATCCAAAATCTGAACCTACGCATGAACATCATCAATTAAATCTACGACATGAAAAGTTATTGTAGCTTAAAAAAAATCCATTTCCAGTCCCAAAGATCGCATAGGAATTATTTAGAAGTTACGAAATTTTGAGACAAGAGGGATCATTTAGAAGTTATGAGATGATTTTGAGACTGATTGTTATTTTCAGAGGCGATCGATAGTGCACAAAGATTGTTGAATTATACCATCAACGCTCTTTGTGGTTAGCAGCAGGTACTACTTGGCAACTGTCTATTTTTGATATGTTAGCCCCTTTCTTGTTTTCAGAAAATATATAATATACATACATACACACGCACAAGCTCGAAGAAGATACAGATACATACCAGTGGTCCATCCCAACGAGAGGTCGACCACTCCAAGACTTCATGTGTAACGTAGTAGACAACCCTAAATCAGTGTTTCTCGTTAGTCTTGTCTTTATGTAACAAGAACCAATTAATCCTTGAATGTAAAAGATCAATACCTGAACACAATTGTAAAAATTAAAACACAACAGAAGAGGAAGTCTCTGTAATATGGGGCCATTCTAAATATATCAAATACAGCTTATTGATGATACGTGACGCAGTAGCTTAATTAACAAAAGCTTTCCACAGCCCGTACATATTACACAGCTTGGCTTTACCACAACAATGTCATTTGAGTTATATAGAAGCCGTATGATAGCAACGCAAAAACCATCTCTATAACTGACAGCTATAGTAGCTGTAATCATGCAAAAAATAAACAATCTATTCGATTGTTGAGCTTCAAGAAACCCTATTCTTTATGCTTTTGGCCAAGTCGAATACATAACACCAATGTACAATTAGCAATGTAGGAATTAAAGTATCTTTGAACGTGTTACCAAATCATGGGTGATTCCATTTCACCAAATGTTGAATAAACGAAAGTAAATGATTCAAGAATAATTTAGTCCTCAACGCACTGCTTCAATAAACTCTATTCTTTAAAGCTACCGAAAACCTTTATGATGATAATTCACGTTGTAACAATTAATCATTCCAACAGTCTCTATCGGTAGGTTATGTTATTAGTCAAACTAACATCACCATCTAACCGCTGCCAAGTGCTTTCGTAACATCATGCAATAAAGAAACAATCTGCATTATAGTTGAGCTTCAACCGACCCTAATCTTTAAGGCTAAAATATGACCCATTTTCCGACCAAGACAAGTATGTAACTCCAATTGTACGTTCATATCATAGCGTGCAGCAATATGAAAATGGAGAGGATCCCTGAATAGATACATTACCGGATAATGGGTGTCTCCATTTATGATCAAAGCAGAATGTCGGTGTCGGCGAATGTTGGATCAATGAATGTGTCTCCATTTGAGAGAGATCAAGCATGATGGTCCTGCATCCAAGAAAAGGTTGATGAAGTGAACCGACTTGTTGGCTTGGAAGTGGTACGTGACAAAGGACACGGATCTTGGATTACCTACTGATTTCCGATACTACGCCCGCTGCTTCGTCAAGGGCGTAGCAACACGGATTGGGTTCCCGGCATCCAAGAGAAGGTTGATGATGAAGAAGGGAACCCGCCCACGAACGCGTTCGGGTTACGGCCCAAGAACTTGTACTGATGTCCGGCACTTGGTCCAGGTCGTACCAACACTCGGGCTGAAACCTTTCCTCCTCTGCATCCAGGAAAGGTCCGGTGTAGAAAGGGACCGGACCAGAACGCGTTAGGGTTTGAACCTGAAGACGACATTGATCTTGGAACATGTCCAATCTTGGATCTCGCACGATCCCAGATATACGAGTTCGTGCCCTGCATCCAAGAAGAAGGTTCGATGAAGAAGGAAAATGAATCAAGAACGTGTTAGGGTTTCCTTGACCTGATGGATGAAGAGGACGTGGATGTTGGAACGCCATGCCCAATCTTCGAACTCGCATTGACGCCCCGTACTCGAGTTCGTTCTATGGATCCAAGAAAATGTTCGATGAAGAAGGGAACGGAGCCAAGAACACGTTAGGGTTTGCTTGACCTTGGCACATGACGAAGACGTCCGACGACCGGACGAATCCCGAGAGGCACTACCGGCGAGAGATCTTCCAGCGGAGGGCATGACGAAGACGAAGGCAAAGTCGAAGGCGTGCAAGGAGGAGGGCGACGGTGGCGAGAGGTCCGGAGGAGGAAGAGTCGCCAAGGGAGGAAGACGGATCGGCTCGCATAACAATCTGTTTCGTCATCTCCGCCATGTATTATTTATTACTCGACGATGACATCTTATAATGCAATAATCGGATTCGGATCTTCTCATTTTCCGGATCCGCATATGCATACGACTGATGTACATATAATACAGTGTGCCAACCGTGTTTTTCCGCCCCCACCCTTTTTTTGGGGATAAATTCGTATACGAGTTCCATAGATCTACCGATTCATATCAAATAAATTTGTTATCTGTAATATTATATATATTTTTGTATTACTAATACTTAAATATAATACTTATTAAGACTCTAGTATAGTAGGATAGTTAATTGAACAATTATTATCTTTGAATTTGAACCTCATTAAGACTCTTATTTTTTTAAAATACTAATATTCATTGGTTTAATGGATTCATATTTTGATTCGAATGGACTTATATGATCACATCAACTAATTTTCTTCTGACAGAGAATGGCATGCCCTCTGTAATAATAATAGTCATCAAGTATCAAACTTCTCCCCTATAGTCTTACAATTGCATTTGCAGTTGCACAAGTGATCTTCTTTTCAACCCATCCATCACCAAATTCACTCCGAGTGATCAAGTGGTGTTTCACTTTCCCATGACTCAGCGCAGACAAAGACAACAGCACAGAGAAAGAGAGAGAGAGAGAGAGGTGTGACACAGTAGCAAACAAGCTTGGACAAGATGTGAGGCCTATAAAACTAGACCAGATTCTGTGTCTACTGGTGATCTCCCTCTGCATTGGTATATATAATATATATATTGGCACTAAGCTTTCTGAATGCGTCATGTCCATTTTGACCACTACGGGGGACAAAGAGCATAGCTAGAAAAGCTGGCATCAAAGTTTGAGAATTTAGCAGCAGTAGAATTTAGGTGATACAAGGATGATTGACAGGGGAAAGAGGCATCAGGTTCCTAATCTTTCTTCCCCTTGGTGGATGCCTACTTTTCCTTTTGCCTTTTGCTGTTACTGCAATTGGATTCCATCACCTCTTGTTGTTTCTTCCTCCACCAACCTACTATTACTAGTAGGTCAACTCTGTCCAACTGTCCCTCTTACAACTATGTCCTGTCCTAAGTATGCTAAACAGACAAGTCGCTTCGACTTCACGCCATCTTTCTATTCCTTCCATCTCTTTCAAACTATATTTATACGACGATAACAATAATAATTGTCGGGCGGGAGAGAATAATTTGGATGTTGGATTCACAACATGTTGATCGAGAAATATTTTGGCAATAAAATCAACAGTTAGATCAGATTCGATCAACGAACACTTCGTTAATCCCACTTTAAACGGGTTGAATACAGCGTAGGTACCCAAAACCATCCGAAACAAACCATCGAGCAGCCGTCAGCAGCATTCGTCAAGACCGTGCCCGAATCTCAAGGCACCTGTGATGTGTGCATGGCAACTTTCACGTGGACTCGCAACCCAAAAACACGATATATAAGAGTGATTGTTATTATGATTGGCATTGATTGACATCAACTCTCCAATGATTTGTCACGCTAGAAGACAACATCTGTCGGCTGCATAATTGAGCAGGCCTAGGAAAGAGATCTGGCTATGCTCTGCCAAAAGTTCTTGTAACCCTTCAAAGATACCGATCTGATTCCAAGACCAAAGAGGGAAAAGCACCAAAAGCAATTCTATTATGATGATCTCAAATCTCCCATTACAGTATCAAATCTAATCACTGGTTGGAAAAAGAGGACATGGTGGTTCGAAAAACCCAAGAGAGAAGAAGAACCCACAGTACCGAGAGAAAACCAAACAGTGAGGCTTTTTCGACATGGGATGGTGATAATTAGTAGCTTAGTAGTCGCGGTGGTGGTAGCAGTAGAAGACGAGGGCAACCGAGGGATAAGATGGATCCATGTGAGGCTGTGGCGACCCGCGGTAGCTATGTAAGGTCTCAAGAGGAAGTGGCAATGCAACAGGGTTCCCATATGAACAATGGCCTCCGGAGCTGGCTGCACCTCCTCATGTTGTGCAGCAACTCTCCGCGGTTCCGCCGCTTCGAAGTGAACAGCAGCTTGTTGTCGAGCGCAGGGTGGCGGTCGCCGAGCGGCGTCGTCCATGGCCCACCATAACCGTGGCCATTGTAGCTCTCTATGTTGACCCCGAGCGCAGAAGCCGCCGCCACCGCAGCTGCTGCGGTGGTGGTTGTCGGTGACAGCCGCCTAGCTGCCGTGGTCGTCGGTGACGGCCACCTAGCTGCCAGAGCCGAGGCAACCGTGCGGTTGTGATTGTTCTGGTCGCCATCGGTCATGCCACTCAGCGGCGTGCCACCGACGAACTTGTTGATGACGAGCGAAGACCGGTGCACTTTCAGGGCGCCGCTCTGCTGCTGGGGCTGCGTGCTGACCGTCACCTCGACGACGGTTCCCCTGTCAACGACCTCCACTTCCTCTTCTTCCTCCTCCTCCTCGTCGTAACAGTTCTTTTCGTCCGATTCTTCTTCCTCTTCTCCGTAGCAGTTCTGTTCTGATTCTTCCGATTCCTTTGCTTCTAGTCGTGTTGTTCCCATCGCTTCGCTTCCTTCAACATCTTCTTTTTCTTGTTCAACATCTTGTTTTTGTGGTGGTGTAGTCTCAGCAGCACAGTCAGCGGCATCAGACTCGTCACCAGGCTCGCCTCCTAAGCCGAGGTCGACGAAAGAGAGGAGGAGGCGGCCGTCCACGCGCTGGGCGCGAAGGTAGTTCCGAGAAGTGACGGGGACGGCTTCGACTACGAGGCGCCCATCGCAGCGGTGAGGCCGCATGTGGAGGCACGGCCCGTTGCGTTGAGAGATCGACGGAAGCGGTGGCGGGAACGACCTCGGCCTGCCAGTGGAGCAATGGTAGTTCACCGACGTCAGTTCCTTGCCCCGGGGACGCCTTTCTCGCTCCACCGCTCTCACCTCGTCTCCTCCTGCTACTATTGCCGTAGCCTGCGACTCACGGACATATTTCATTTCCTCTTCCTTCTCTTCATCGTCGAACTTTGGCGGACAGCAGTAGTCGAGGTCATCCACGAAGGAGGAGAAGTCGCCGGAGCCGGTCTCCGACCCGAGACTCTCCGTGCACAACTCGAGGCTCTCCCGGCTCAACAAACTCAAAGACCGCCTCATAAGGGGATGAACGTAAGTGCCCGGAACGGCCGCGGCGGCCGCCTTCTGCGACTGGATCGCACTCCATATGTCAAATTGGCCGGGCAGCTCATCGTCGCTCTCCTCCTGTACCATAGGACGGCCCTCTTCGCTCCTGTATCGCTCCGCTGGCGCCGGCCAGCTGCGCTGGGCCAAGTGGAAGGTTGCGGACGGGTTTCGCATGACAGCTACCGACATCGTCCCTTAGGACAGAGAGTACGGAAGCAGCAGTGAGGTTTGTTTAATTCGTGTGTCACTGTGAACAAAAAAGGCAAAAGCAATAAGCACCCAAAAAAGGATGGGAGAGTCCCACGGGCGGTAGCAAGAGGAGGAGAACAGGGGCCCGGGGAGAGATGAGGAAGTCGAGTGTACCGATGTTAGCAGTCAAAAACATGGGCAATCGGGTTGCCTTAAATACCTTAAACAAGAATGACAAGCAGTGCCTTCCTTGATTGGTTTGGGAGGCAGAGATGGCAGAAGAGTCGGGGAGGGATGGGATAGATTGGCTTGTGCTCCTCGGAAGAGGTAGGCAGGCAGGCAACGCTGCTTAGAAGTGAGGGATGAGGGGGTGGTATTTGTAGGTGAGAAAAGGAAGCTTTCAGCCTTGCTCAGGTCAGGGCTCTCCACCACCAGTCCACAATAACACAATCCTTTTTTTGCTTTTCCTACCCCAAGTAGTATTTACCTATATATCACTCTCCTTTATGTTTTATTCTCCACTGTCTGGAATAACTTTTTATCGTCTTAGGGACTGTATCACTAGGTTTGACTGTTTCAATCAAGTCACTGGTACAACATAAAGCATACTATTAGTTTGTTTTCGTACAACAACCATTCACCAGCGGTGAAGTCACTCACTGTTTGATCGATCCTATGCACCAGCGAATATCGGCCTCCCGCTCATCTTAGCTGTTCTGATAAAAATTATTCTGCATTCTTTTGAAGTCACAGAGGTAATGAGACTGACTCCCGACGCCACCCATTCTATCTAGGCTCATCCACGGCCTATATTCTCTCCTCAACTTGGTTGTCGTTTATGTAGAAAAAGTATATAAAAGGCAAGGAAAGGGAGAGGCAGGCATTTGCAACTTCCTTTTTATTTCTCTGTCCGCCATCTTACCATGAGAATAACACATCCATGGCTGCTTTTTCGCACCCCAACTTCTCAGCTTTGGTCACACTCCCTATCCAAGCCGCAGACACTACCATCAAACAGATGCCACACTTTGGAACAAAAATGACGTATTTAGATACCAGCCATGCATACATGAATAAACTATTGGAATGCTACATTCCCTGAGGTTATATCGTCTGTCACATTCCCTTCAAGTGGAGTCGACGTACCATGTCGAGCCACGTCAAGGGGGTGAGCGAGGGGATAAATTTGTCGCTATGTATATAGCCTTTTTTTTTTTTTCTTCCCCTCTCTTTGGCTTGCCACCGGCGAGGATGATTCGTTCAGTAGATAAATGAGAAATAATGTTGGTGATAAAGAGCAAAGGGATGAGACATGCATTCTCTGATGTGGTCATGCTTCGGCCTTGGTGACTTGAGCAATAATGTTGTTGTACGCTTTTTTATTTTCCTCCATAATTATTTAGAGGAGCATAGGGTGTCACTGTTTACCCGCTTTTAACCGGATGGATGATGCACGGTGGGACTTGGGAACCATCCATGCACGACATCCCGAAAAAGATTAAGAAAAAGAAAGGTAGAAAGCATCCAGCATAGCTTCCGGATGGAATGGCCCGACTCGATCAGTTGACACTTGTACTCGCAAGACGACAATGATAACAATTGCAGACAAAACTATTCCAGATGATGTAGTCTCATCCGTACAGTATAACACAATAATTTTACGAAAACTGTGAACTCTATTAATTATATGTTGTTTCATCATAAGATAGCTTCGTAGGTGGAAATTCTAAATTGACTCTATACTTTTAGTTACTTTAAGACAGAGAATGAAGATTAATCACCATTGCCACGGGTCTCAAAACGAGAGGAACGTGGTCCGGAAGCATCCTTGTTGGAAACCAAGGACATGCTAAAGACAGCAGAATTCAGCATAATGTTAAGCCACTCGCTGGTTTCATTGACCTATTCTACCAATCAGAACGACGGAGTACCGTGGAGGTATTCGTTAAGTGGACCAGGCTGCAGGAAGGGGGTAGTGGCTTGTACGCTCCGGCTAGAAACAACTGGCGAGCAAGTGCTTCAGGCAGATTAACTTCTTAGCTCGTACGTGGATAAGAACGGAGGGACATGTTGTGTTACATATGGCCTTCGTTATTAAAGGCTATTTACGTGGTTGGATTGGCATTTGCTACCAACGAACCTTGTGCATATGAATCTCGAGCACCCTGGGTGATGTTTCCTGGCAATCAATCAACCATGTACCAAAACTAAGGTAGCGATGGTTACTTGGCCTTCACACCTTCGTACCTCTGGTACAGTTAGCAGGTGTCTGATAGAGAATTGCAAGTTCACATGCTCGATTCAGCACACTCGGTCAAATAATGGATGGCTCTATTGTTGGACCTCAGAAGCTGACCCATCAGCATCCCAAATTCCTAAACCACCACCCACTCTGAACTGCTAACACAAAGCATTAGATCCAAATGGGCACATGACAAGCACCACATCTAGTAAGCAAAAGGCTCCCTCTAAATTTGACCCCCAGCTCGCCGTAGCATGCTCTGTAGTAAATATTTGGGCACATAGAAGTTGCTCGGGCCATTATGTCCAACCAAAAAACACAAACTAAACAGGCTAAACGCATTCAATTGCTACTTCAAATGGACAAGTATCATGTCTACAATATGCTAGAACCCTACAACTTCTATCCAGTCAGTCTCCCTTGCTCTCCCAAATATACCAACAAGCCACAAACAAAAATGCACAGTATTCATGATGAATGGCGAGTTAAGGGTTTGCTCTTTTTATTTGCAAATGCGACTAATATTATAATGTAACATCGGTGGTCGCCTTTGAACTGGTTAGCTTTGATTATCATTCTCTAAAATCAAGTCGTAAATGACCATGCAACCTAAATTTTAACTTCATATATACTTAACGACAGAACAATAGTGAATATAGGGAACAAGCATGTAAAACCTAAGAATTTAAAATGATATTACCAAGTAAATTAATTCATACGAGGAAAAGATTCAAAAGATCCATAGGCTCATTACCTGATAAAGAGACCATCGTCTTTCCTGATTGAGAGAGATTGAGGTTACATAATCATCATGTCTGCAACTGAATCGGAAACATTGTTTCAGACATCTGACTTTGAAATATTGAATAATAGCTAAGGAGCATGAAGAGTATTTTCACAAAATCATATTATTAAAACATGTTAAAATATTTTTATAAACCATGATGCTTAAGGGCTTCAGTTGGCAATTGTTTTCTATGGTTAAATTCATATGTTCCTTCAATATCCTCGATTAACAGTGAAGATCTAAGCATATGCACAGAACACAATATTGGAATTTCAGTTTTAATATTCTGTAGTCTTGACTAGATAAACTAGTTTTGATTACCAATTGATACAAGATTATTATTTACATTACTAATTAAAAAGTGTCCTTCTCCCTTGAAGAGACAATTTCTACAGCCAAGTGGCACGTTTAGGTACATAGAAGATTAGCCTATCCTGCGTTGTAATAGACAAGCACTACACTAATTACCAAGCTAGAGGAGTACATATATAAAAAGCCAAGAAAAATAAACAAATCTATTGCTATCAGCTATAATAGGCAGGCCTTATGTGAAAAAGGAAGTCAAGGATGATTACAATTTAAATGATGTTAGAATCTCATGCTCTGGCCATACATCGAAAAGGCACCAGTCAATTAAACCCAGAACGCAGTACGTCAATAAGTAACTAACATCTGCTCCTTTGCTAATAAGAGAAAGAGATAACAGGAAAAATTACTACCTCAGCTAGCACATGATTTAGATTGATTTGAAATGAAATATCTATTCTAATTTCCAAAATAAGCATTTAGTTCAAGACTACTGTCATAGCGGAGTGCAAACTTACAATTAGGAAAATTCACAAACTAGAGCTTGATGCAACTCTGTGGCTTTTAGATTTGCAGTCTAACTCTAACCCAAGAGTACCAGCAGACAACTCGACCTTAAAGAATATGTTACTTGGCAGAAAAGGACAACACAACAACCTGCAAAGGACTTAATCTGATGTTACTCAAGATTGTCCACAATGTCACACCATCTCACATGAACGAAAGTTTTCAGCAATTCATTTCCCTGTTCATGTTGATAACCCCAAGCTAATACCACAAAGTCATTGATCGCCAGTTCTTTGGTGATGATACATGCTTTGTGATGTTGTTAGAAACCAGAATATAATCAGCCTATTCAGATGCAGTCCACAATTGGTAACATGAAAAAGGCATCAGTCGAGACAAATGCATCAGTGAGTGAGTTCTCCGATTATAAATCCAAAAGAAGATCACGTCACCATCTCTCTCAATACAAACACTTGCACATTCAAAACTTTCCATGCATTTAGTAACATCTCGCGATCGTGACAAATCATGACAGATTTCAAGATTCTCCGTTCTCCGTTCTAAGTTCATACGCAATTACTTATTCAGTGCGTATCTCCTTCCCAGAGCGATCGAAAGAACCGAGGGTGTAACCCTAAGTTTCAGAAATCAAGTCACCGACACCATTCCCAACCGTATACAGAAACCATGGTTGTTGGGCCGAAAGATCTCAAATCTCAAATCTCAAATCTCAGATCAAGCACCACAAGAGCGAAGGATAACTAAAACGCTGACCATGAGAGGGGGAGAAAGAGCGATACCTGTAGACCGGGGAGGGTGAATTAATGCAGCGGCCGGCGGTCGTTACGGGAAGGAGAAGGAACGGCGGAGAGACGGCAGACGCCGTTGCAGAGGTGGCGCATGAGCGGAATCCTCACCGCCGGATCCTCTCCAGCAGATCCTCCTCTTCCTCCTTCGACGGCCGCCCAACTCCGGCGAAAACCCTCCTCTTACTCTCGCTCGCTCAATGGTGAATACGGAACGAGAAACCCACGAAACAGAGACGCGCGCGGCATATAAAGACGGTTCTTTCGTAATATCTTGGGCCGGGCTTATCGCTAATATCTCTTATCTCTCCTACTAAGTGATATGCCCACAGTTTGGCGCAAACTGAGTGGGATTAACATGGATCCGAATCCGATTTGGAACGGATGCGAATGTCGATATTACTTGAATCAGATATCAAGCCTGAGAGCTGTTAGAAAAAACAAAAAACAAAAAACAAAAAATAAAAAACAAAGAGTACGGAATAAAATATGTTAAAACCAAGGTCTGTCATACCGAAGCGTACCGCCTGTATCGGGCGGTACGTACCGGTCCGATAGGTTACCGGTATGCGGACCATCCGATACCGCTATAGTGCTACAGTATTTTACTGTAGCACTGCTACAATATGAAGAAAAAATAAATAAAATTATTCGGTACACCAGGGTGTATCGTTCGATACGTCCTGATGTACTGCCTGATACACCGATGCCATACCATATTGAGCTCGGGTCGAAATACCGGTACGGTACGACGAACCTTGATTAAAACAATCAAAGAAAGTAACAAATAAATATAACATTCTAAGAGATGACAGAATCATTAATGTTATTTACATATGCATCATTTAAATTTCGAATATTTACAGTAAAAATATATTGAACAAAGGAAGAAGGGTTGTTCGATGCTTGCATAAAACCTTTAAAGTAATGACAATAATGTCAACCCCACGTAATATGACAATAACTGGTCACATGGGTTGCCTCAATTCTGTCCCTCGATTGTCACTCCTGGAAAAGAAAAGGGTGGTGTGTGCATATACGCCTGTTATAAATGTCGATTTATTTTGTAGACATCAATTTGTCAGGATCTTTGCTTTCCATATCCTTTGCAACAATGTCACTGTCATGTTTCTTTGTTTCTTCTCATATTGTCTCCAATTATGATTTTTCAGTAGTAATGTAATAAAGAACATAAATGAGAGATATTTTTTGAACTTAGATTCTTCTAACATTTAAGTTAATATTCCAAAATGGATGAGTGTTAATATAAGTAATAAAAAAAAGTGATATCATTTTATTGTATTGAATATGAGTTTTTTTACTTAGTCATAAAAAGGTAAAATATTATATGAAATATTTAATATGTAGAATCTAATCGTCTCTAATAATCTTTCATTTATCTTTTATCCAACGGGTGATAAGAGAGGGGCATCATATAATCGTTTGTCTTAAACTCTTATCTACTAGGATAGATAAGTAGATGATGACCTTTTATCTTCTTATTTCAGTTTAATACCGTACTAAGGTCACGTGTTGGATGACGATTAATTGACAATGTTATTCATATCATTTGTCCCCCTTGAAGGTATGCTTCGAGGACTCTTACAAGAGAAATTTAAAGTATAACAAATGGGAAAGGAATGTTTGACCTCCACGTCTCGAAAAGAGGTGCCCTCCTCAATAGTAAATCAATCATCACCGACATGAACCTGACCCTCCTTCAAGCATGGAGGTCGACAATGATGAGGGTTTGTTTCTCGACCTTCATAACTCTTAGTTATCGTTGTTTTGTTCACCTCCTTAAACCTTTAATATGGCAAAAGAGGTAGCAACACTCTTGGTCATCGTCTCTTGGTTCACCATAAGGTTTGACAATCCTGACCTTCGTACCTTAGCAACCGAGGGGGTCGATTATCCAACCTATGCACCTAAGGGTCAAGAAACTTATTTCAATCTTGATCTTTGTGCACATCTTAGGATTTTAGTGTTTTCACCTAGATAACCTTATGCACATAAGTTCAAACCATGTCAAGTTGACCATGACGTCAATAACATCTTTAGTTAGCCCAAGTAAATATATAAATTTTTTTCATTACTGTTCTTTATTTTTAATTATTTGCCCTCAAAAATTTTGATATAGTTTATATGTATTTTTTAATTAAATTTTTTTAGTTATGACTAATATTAGCTAGTTTAAATTTTACAAAATAAAATATTATTGATATATCTATAATGAGTTTTTTTTAATGGCGTATTGTTCTCTTATAAATTTTAAATTATAGATAGATATTAATTGCAATGCCGTGTACTCACTTTCATAGATTTTGCTATAATATGTATGTTAAACTTACATCCACATAAACAAATAAAATTTTTTGCTTATTCTGTAAAGATATATAAGAATTCAGGTATGTACTCATTATGATGTTTGAATGTCTTTTAAATATAAAACATCACTTGTATCCAATCTGTTGCTTCAAGAGGCTGACGCATATCCATCTCCCTTTTCTAACTCTAATATAATATTGCCACACACACAACTGTCTCATCAACTAAAAAGTTTAAATTTCCTGTTCCTTAATTATTGATATTACTGATTTGATTCTCTCCCACCTTCTAATCATTTCAAAGTATCCTCACCAAATCAAATGGAATCATTTCCCAAGTTAATCAAGCACAGCAAAATCATACACAATTGAATCGATCCCCTACAATCATCATCATCATAATACATAAACAAGCAATCAACGTTTGTAATCTAATCCAAAGAGATAAAATAAATAATTTAAATTTCTGACCCTTTTTTAACGCACGTCTATGTTTGTTTTTGTCATATCATTTAATTTAAATTAACATCATCAACAATAATTGATAAGCAGCAATGTTCTAATTATTTGGGATCAGCATATGTTGTTGTTTTAATACCATGTCCTCATTAATGATGACCTGTGACGTCACAAATCCCCGGGCGAATTTTCAATCCTGCCACAGTGCATATCTGGATCCATCATCACGCCTTCGTTTTATATCGGCGATTATAACGGTTTGCTAAAATGGTAACGGCCGCTCATTATCACAACAGTGTCGGAAGGAAACATCGAGACGTATATCACGATAAGGTTCGTCGCAACCCTTGGGATTAATGGGACGAAGACGTCGCTGGCCGAGGGGGGGACCACACGCTGCGAGGGGTCAATTTGGTAAAAGCGGTAGGAGAAGATGAGATATCGCATCAGCGTATCCCCACGACGAATAAGAAATGCGTCACCTGTCCATTGGCCTCTGGGGAATAACGGGGTGTAGTGGTGCCCTTTTCGAACGTGGTCGTGGGTAGTTTCGTCAAAGAGCTCTTCGAACGGCCTCGCTGGCGTTGATGTGGTATTATTGTATGCCGATGACGACCCCCTTCTCTGGCCCTCTTGCATATCGGAACAAGAGCAAAGCAAAAGCGAAAGAACAAAAAGCACAGGCAAGCCCAGGACGGCCTCCTGTTCTGCTCTTTGCTTCTCGCGAGTCATCTTCTTGAGCTGCACCTATTCCTTGTTTGCTGCAGGGTTTCTCTTCCTGTTCCTGGATTCGATCCATATCTTCTTCTATTTGTCCACGGAGGAGGGAAAAGGGGTGGTTTCGATCCGAAGAGGAATGCCGGGTTCGGTTGGAGGCGATTAGGGCTTTTGATCGGAGAATGTGGCGTCTCGGACGTGACGGCGACGCCACCGGGATCGGCGGCGGAGGCGGGGAAGCGGTGGCTGAGGACGCAGGCAAGCCGGTGGTGGTGGCGGTCCCCCCGGCGATGCAGGCGGAGGCGTACCACCAGGCTAGAAGTAGATCTCAGGGCGGCGGCGGCGGCCGGAGAGTCGCCCCCGCTGCATGTTCTCCGGAAGAGAACGCGACGGCGGTGGAGAAGGCGCTTCCGAACGGGGACATGTACACTGGGGGTTTCGTCGGGAACGCGCCCCACGGCCGCGGAAAGTACTTGTGGGCCGACGGTTGCATGTACGAGGGGGAGTGGCGGCGGGGGAAGGCGTCCGGGAAGGGTAAGTTCTCGTGGCCCTCCGGCGCCACGTTCGAGGGCGAGTTCCGCTCCGGCCGTATGGAGGGCTTCGGGACCTTCACTGGATCGGAGGGCGACACCTACCGAGGCTTCTGGATCGCCGACCGCAAGCACGGGTACGGATGCAAGTGGTACGCCAACAGCGACTACTACGAGGGCGGGTGGCGGCGCAACCTCCAGGAGGGCCGAGGCCGGTATGTGTGGCGGAGCGGGAACCAGTACGTCGGCGAGTGGCGGAACGGCGTCATCTCCGGCCGCGGGGCGCTGATCTGGGCGAATGGCAACCGCTACGATGGCCATTGGGAGAACGGCGTGCCAAAGGGGAGCGGCGTGTTCACGTGGCCCGACAGCAGTTGCTACGTCGGTAGCTGGAGTAAAGGCGATCCAAAGAGCTTCAACGGAACCTTTTACCCTGCCGTCACCACAGGACGCAAGGAGATCGGTGGAAAGAGGAGCTCATTCTCGCTTTTGGATGAAGCATTCATGCTTCCGCCGCTGGCACCAGCGTCGAGGAAGACATCGTCGGTGGACGGTGTACTGGGGAGGAGGAGCTCCACCGCAGAAAAGAACTTCCCCAGGATCTGTATCTGGGAATCTGAGGATGAGGCCGGGGACATCACATGCGATATCATCGATACAATCGAGGCAGCGATGCTTTACAAGGATGGCTTGTCCTTCGATCAGGGTGAGCGAACACTAATCAGTGCCGTGCAGCAGCGACGCAACCAATATTGTTTGTCAACATGGGAGGCGAAGAAGCCAGGGCAGACTATATTGAAGGGTCATAAGAACTATGATCTGATGTTGAACCTTCAATTGGGCATCAGGTAAATGGCTTGATGTTTCTCTGGTTAGGTGTTGGTTGCTATTGCCTCTGGAACGTCCATTTGAAATTTGGGTTCATTTTATTTTGTTTTAGTTACTCTGTTGGGAAGCCAGGTTCACTCAGAGAGCTCGGAGCCAGGGATTTTGATCCCAGGGAGAAGTATTGGACTAGGTTTCCTCCCGAGGGATCAAAGATTACACCACCTCACCAGTCCATGGAGTTCCGGTGGAAGGATTATTGCCCTATGGTTTTCAGGTAGTATTTATTCATCTTTACCAGCTAGAATAATATAATTTATTCTAATTTTCCTTTTTCCTATCTAGGTTGGATTTTGATTTTGGATTGTTCAAGTAATTTGTGATGTACTTGGCTTGCAGACACTTGAGGAAGTTGTTTAACGTTGATCCGGCAGATTATATGGTAGCTATATGTGGAAATGATGCTTTGAGGGAACTATCTTCCCCTGGGAAGAGCGGAAGTGTCTTCTACCTAACCCAAGATGACCGCTTCATGATTAAGACTGTAAAGAAATCTGAAGTGAAGGTTAGATGATTTAGTTGCTTGTTTTTCATTGATAGTCCTATTTATGTGTCAGTAATTCTTTATGGTTCTGTGGCTCAAGTTCATAAAATTGCTGGATCTAACAGTTGCCAATTGGAATCAGGAATACAACTATTGGATGCACATAATTTACTCCACAGATATGAGTCGTCATGCTTTAGCTGCATATTGTTATGTTAAATACAATGAGATCTGACTTTTCTACTATGCATCACAATGCTAGTGTCTGTTAGAATCGTTAGCTTCGAAAAACTTTTTATGAATTCTAATGCCCTTGGTCCTGCCTATGAGAGAAGAACGCAGTTGATCAGGCATTGCACGGTTGCACGTATCTCAATGAATAAAACAAGACCAGATAGTTTGTCACTGGTTTGCGAAAGTTTATCTCTTAGCAAATATTCACTAATCTGTTTTTATTTGGGTACTGACTCATAATTTGCTTTAATAATTGGTCTTTAGGTACTTATTAGGATGTTACCCAGTTACTACCAACATGTCTATCGGTATGAAAATTCACTGGTCACGAAGTTCTATGGTGTTCATTGTGTGAAGCCCATTGGTGGGCCAAAGGTAAGATATTATTCGGATAAGCTGCTTCCCCATCATTTAGCTGTCTGCATTCTTCACATTGTAACTGGTATGATAATGGTTTAATATCCATGTACTTTGCTTATATGTGGCTGGAGAACAGGTACGTTTCATTATAATGGGCAATTTATTTTGCTCAGATTATCATATTCATAGAAGATTTGACCTGAAAGGTTCATCCTATGGTCGATCAACTGACAAGGCTGAGGAAGAGATTGATGAGATGACAACCCTGAAGGATCTTGACCTAAACTACATATTTCGCCTGCATAGGTCTTGGTACCTGGAGCTTCTTGAGTAAGTGCTCAATTTGTAGCTTGAAATGTTTGATTGTTTGTGTTTTTTATTATTTTGTTCCTCTGTCTTCTGTGAGTTGATGATATTTGTTCACGTTTCAGACAAATCAAGCGGGATTGTGAATTCTTGGAAGCAGAGGGGATTATGGATTATAGTCTCCTGTTGGGGTGTCACTTCTGTGATGATGTTTCAGCATCGTGGGCAGGTTCATCACCATGTTCTGCTTCTACAAGTAAGTTGATTTTTCTCATAGTTTGGGAAATTATGGACTATGGAGCACTTCAAGTCCTTCTAAACTTAGTAATGGTACTTGATTAGAACCTTATCGCAAGAGCTATTCATTTCAAGATCGAGCTGCTTGGTCCAAATTGCAGTTATCGAAGTCAACCCATCAAGATATGGATCTATCAATGGGTGGCCGGTATGTCTATCGAATTCATTGTTTTTTCTGGTTGTAGAAACTTTAATTGGAATAAAAAGACTAATTCAAACTCCAGCTCCCTTTACTATGATGAGTAACAAGTAAAAACAACTATATTTTGCTAGCCTTTATGGTCTTTATGATTTTTTTTCTTGTACTTGCATTCTCCATAGCAAACATATTGTTGTATTCAATATATTTCTGGCATTTTAGACCTTGCTGGTTCTGTATTCCGCATGTCTCAATTTTCATTAGAAAGATAATACATGATTGCTTATTTTCTTCACTAGAATAATATTGTCTATTGTTTAATGCAAGCTATACCTTAAAATCTGTTTATAAATTGTTGGTTTCTGACATGTCAATATATTATCTTCATGGTTAGGAAACCTTTTATTGGGCTAGGCTTAAACATGCCGGCAAGAGCAGAGCACACAACAAGAAGCGAATTGATGCCGACACTCAATGGCAAGATCCATGATGTGATTCTCTACTTTGGGATAATTGATGTCCTCCAGGACTACGATATTACTAAGAAGCTGGAACATGCTTACAAATCCTTACAGGTGGATCCCAATTCCATCTCAGCAGTGGATCCAAAGCTCTACTCCAGGCGGTTCCAAGAATTCATCAGGAGAATCTTTATGGAAGATGACTGACCAAACAGGGAAAGGGGGAGAACCTGGACAGACTTCAGAAGCCAAAATCACCATGGACGAAACATGACTTTCTGTTATTGGCTCAACATGTGCTGTTAATAACTTTGCTCTATGACACCTGAATTTGGCAAATGCCAACGGACTGAAAGGCGTGACTCAGGGAGAAGCATTTGAAGGTTTGCTATATAGGAGGCAGATGACCAAAATTATCATTCAGCTTCGCGAAACCTAAATTTGAGATGCTTATGTACCTTTCTGATGATTAGTGAGCTAATCAGCCATAGACACTCATCATTAGGAACCTGAAGTTGAGAGCTTCAACTGTCCATCGGATGAAGGCGGATCTTGATCAGAGAAAGAATTGTTACATGTGCAGATTTCACTAGCTTAAGTTTGAGACCCTCAATTGACCAGCGGAGGATGCTACAATTTGCTCCAGCAGGTGACAAGTTTGAAAGCTCTGCCATTGTTACAATATGGTATATGGATTCCATTAGTTTTCTATACTTCCTTTCGGGTTTCAGATAGATAGGGAACATAAATTTATACTGTTTGAGGGGGAAACAAAAAGAAAAGAACATATCAACTCGCAGTTGTAGGCATCAAATAAGAATTGTACAGGAAATGGAAGAGGAAGGTGATGATAGTGATGATGATATGTGCATGAGTAGGTTAAACTTTACCTTCTTTCTGCTACAGTCACTCTGATCTTTCTCTGTTTCTTTTCTGCTATCGTTTGTTGTTTGTTTGTTTGTTTTCTCTCTCTTTTCCAGTATGGAATAATATTACTCCGATAACCTTTTCCAGACCAAAGCAGAGAGAAGCTCTCACTGCCCCATCTCAACAGCTTCTGAGTCGAGAGGGGCATTATCGGACGTGGGAAAAAGGTGGGCTGGAGAATGGAATTGGCATCAAAAGCGGAGAAAAGTGCGCCAGCCAAGATGGTGGGTATGGTATCACATCTCTCCTCTTTCCCTTCCTCTTCTCTCTTCCATTCCCACCCACTCCCACTGTTGTTGCTCTCCCATTCCCCCAACATCTCCTTCAAATTCCATTTCTTTCCTTATCCTTGGCGTCTTTTGCTTTCTCCGTGTTTGACCAGTCTAACCCTTGTAGCTTCCCGTGTTACTCTTTCCTCTACTGGTGAACCAAAAGAGGAGAGAAGGCTGCTTACCACTAACTATTGAGCATCTCAAAGAACAGAATACTATTAAGCATTCAGCTTTTTTTCCCCCCTTTCTTCCAATCAAGTATTCATCTTTGGAGTTTGGAGAGGGGGAAAGATAAGTTTAATCTCTCTTCTCTCTCATTATGCTAGTTGTAATCGAGGTCAAAGGCTGTGTCAGGGCTTATCACCTTTCCGTACCCTTTCCTAGTCGTTATTTGATTGAGTGTCTTGTTTCAACACGAAACCGAGCTCAGAAAGGGAAGTTGATATGTATGTGTCCACAGATCGCCTGTGAACTCGAATCTGCATGTCTCCTTCGGCTTACGCCATTACAGTAAACCGCTACTTGCTTTCTTGCCGATGACTCTTAAATATCTCTCCAGAGTCTTTTCGCGTGAAAATGACCCAAGTGGATTTAAATTGGTATACTGGTTCTCGACCATTGTGAAGGCAAAATAGCACTCACCGTTCACGGATCGTCTCGTGTTCGCCAGGTGCTTGAAGAAATGGAGCAACCAAATAAACGGGGTGCTTTGTGGTCTCGGGAGTCTTCCCTTGCGCGCGTGCCGGCCTTTTATTCTTTCGGTCAGTCGTCAGCTCCGTGACTTGTTTTTATCCGCAGAGAGCTTGTAGCAGTAGTAGCAGCAGCTCAGATCCAATACATAAAGCAAAAGTATAGCCGCGGTAGGTATAAAAACAAGGCTGGGCTTCCCAACCTAATGCTTTTATATAGCAGTAGAATTATGACAAGATCCTAAGTGTTTTATCATAAAAAGATGGGAAAAAGGATGATCATTTCGAGAGAATTTGAGGTTAGTCTAAAGATTAAATAATATTTTATTTTTCTATAAAAAAAATAGTTATATTATTATAATTTATAGAGTTCCACATAGAATTCATTACGGCTTAAATTTTTAATAATAAATAAATATTAAATAAATTTTTATTTGATTCTAACAGAATTAAATAGATTCAATAAATATTATTTAAAAATTTAAAAAATAAAAGGATAATAACAAATTCCTTCGAGTCTCGTTTGGAGTTAGAAGAAAGTGAGAGACACTGAAAAGAGCCCATCGAGTTGCAACCCACGGCGTGCCTGCTGTTTGTGCAATATATATATTGGGTTAGGACAGGAGGATTCATGGTATCTATCTTCTTAGCAGATGGATTCCAAGGAAAACTTGCATAGCAGATTCTCAAGAAAAAACAACGAGAAATTAAACATCGCAAGTAACGTTATGTGCTCTTAAGCGTAGTAAAATTCCAAACATAGTGTCCATAATTAGATTCCTATTACAAAGCGTCCTCCTCCCCTTATTTTTCTCCACATCGTTTATGTATTAACACCCACAAACATCACATGCAAGATACAGTAGATATTACAGCAGAGAGGGGGCACAATCGTAATTCTGAAGCAACTCCCATCACGGTCCGGTACCCCGCGGCGGAGCGCTGTTAGAGCCTGCTCCGCCACCGCGAGCTCCACCAAACCCGAACCCTCCAACGCTCGAAGTCCCACCCCCGCCCCCGCCCCCGCCCCCGCCACCGAATCCGAAGCCGAACCCTCCACCGCCGCCTCCTCCCCCGCCGACGCGTCCCTCGTCGGAACGACCGCTCCATCCAAACCCGAACTGGTGGGCGCCGTTCTCGGGTCGGCCGTACGACCCTCGCCAGAAGCCGAAACCAGCAGCAGCGCCCCCGCCCCCGCCCCGGCCGCCGGGCGCCGAGCCAACGCCCCAGAAGTACTCCCACCCGCCACCTCTACCACCGGCACGGTCAGATCCCCATCGGAAGTCCCATCCGCGAGGGTTTTGGCCCGGGCCCGGGCCGCCTCCACCTCCGCCAGATCGCCCGGCCATCGCGATCACAGTGAATCCGAGAAGGGCGTTGTTATCGCTTGGCGGTGGAGGAAAGGAACGATGAGTTCTTTAGACCAACAACAAGCGGCACCTTGGAGAAACCAAACCACGAGAAAGTGGAGAGGACTCGGTCGTTTCCTTTTTGACTTTGTTGGTCGAGTTGGTTCCCATCACAATAAATACCATCTCACCGTGTACACACAGCTTCGTTGAACATCCATTTGCGGCTATCTGGAAAGCAGTAGAATGAAGACAGACGACGATATTAGTATATCACACTTGCCTAAAGCACCATCAATAAGCACGAACTTTAAAGATCCAACCACAACATAAACCTCCACCCATCAAAATCATAGTTCCCCCGATCTACACCAAATCGTTACAAACAGCAAGTCATGATTTCCATACTGCCAATCCTCCTGCCTCAGCTAGTAGTAGCAAACCAGAAAGAAGAGGTAAAAAAAAAGGGAACACAAATAGAGTAGACTTTTCTCCATGCACCTTCTGCTCGAAAGGATGGTGATGATTGTTTGGCTGCTGCAACAATCTTCATAGGGTAGAACAATGTACACAAGGAGAATCTACTCCAGCTTGTCCTCTTCCGCCTCATCTTCAAGACTAAATGCATCGGCATGATCTGCATTCCTTTCCTTTTTATCGAGCTTCACCAATCCAATGTTGCCATCAGAAGTCCCTTTTGTAAGAGATTGTGCTTCTTCGTCGTCTTCGCCAGCTTCACCCGAATAAGCATATCTGAAGTAGAAGTTTGAACGTTAGACACGGTTTTATGGCAGGAGCACAAACATGGCAGGAGTAATACCTTTGAGAGCTTTGAGATGGTGCCCACAGATAGCACATGACACAGAGCAGCACCAAGGAAAGAATGTCCCAGAAAGCAGTAATGATCCATGCACTCTGCCATCTCTCGCTGAAGGGGTCTGTTGCTTTGAAATAAACCTGTAGGAAATGATGCCTTAGACTAAGATCATAAAAGGTTTCTCCTATATTACCTTCACTAAATGCCTGCATTTGATGTCCTTCCAAAGTTTTTGCCTACATGTTTAATACACTGACATTGCAACCAATGTATGGGTACTCATATCTCCAAAAACATACTCAGATTGAAATTTATTTACATAAAAGACTGTATCATGCACCATGTTTGGAAAAATTGCACAGCAGCATGAATGCTCATCCATCAAGAGTGATGCAAAGGAAGGTCCTTTCCAAACCCTTTCTGGAATTCAGTCGGGCAAAAAAAGGCGTACCCGGTGCATGAGGCTCCCACCAATGCAGGGTCTGGGGAGAATCAATATATGCAGCCTTACCTTTAAATATGCTAACCTTTCTTAGAATTTTTGGACCTAACTTTATCTTAGTTAAACAAAATACTTTGACCAGCCAGAAGCTAACTCTATCTGAGAATTTTTGGACCGAACTTCCAGTGTAATTTATCAAGTATTACAGTCTTAATTTAAGAAAAGTTAGTGCATGTAGGTGTTACCTAAGAGACAAATTAAAGTGAATTTCAAAGGTACTAGGAATGTTCTTTGGCATCACTATGATGACTTCTATATCGGGCTTTACTAATTTCTAAATGTGCACTTGTTTGATTTTCCTCCTATTAAGAAAGTATAAGTACCTCGTCCAATTCCTTATCCATATTTCTGAATGAATCTTAAAGTCATGGTTCCAAGGGGTATCTTGTATGCTCTCTTGGAGAGTTGTGCTTGGATCATTAGCATAGCAGTTAGTAGCAGGATTTGATGAGCTCTCTTTTCTTTAACATTCCCTTAACTGTTTGAACTTGCAGATTCCCTTATCTGTTGATAATCAACCCTGGAACTTCCTCTTTGCCTTCTATGGTATCTCGCTAACTGAGCTTTAATATTATTTCAGCTTCCTTCTATAATTTAAAATCAAAATTTTATACAACCTTTACAATATGTAAGTCAAGCCTTTCCTCAGCTCACTTGCACCATATAAGATGTAAAATGAACTCAACAGTGGATATTTTAAGCTAGGTCAATGGTTATTTGCTTAGCGTGTGCCTGTTTACACCCCCATGAGATGTAGTAAATGTAATGTGTCATTTGCTATATATATATATATATATATATTCTCCATTCTACATTGCAACTCTAGGAAGGACGACAGCAACAACAACAAAGCTGTAAAGTACTGCCGGAGTAGGCTAGAAATACCGGTCTAATTAAATGCTAATGTACTGCTTCTGTCTCTTCCTTTCTGTTGATTCTTGAATGCATCAAGCCAAAATGAAAACATCTAATCATAGATAAAGTACAAAGATGATTGGTCAAGTTATAGCAGGGTGGAAATATTTCTACCTCATATCCAATCCAAGAGACTGAAGCAATCACAGCAACAGCCAATGCGTTCGTAAACTTCCGGTATATATCTAACTTCACAGAACTCCTCCTAGCCTACACAGATGAAAAGAAGAACCACTTCAGAAACAAGACCGTACCGCTCATATCATAAGAAGTGATAAAAAACTTTGAAGGGTAATTAGAAGCATATTATAGATGAGAGGCATAGTTCAATTAAGGCTGTACTTGATATACCTGCAGCTTTTCTAATGTCCGTGAAAGAGAAGTAAAGATCCAAAGAATCAAGAAAGCATCCAGAAATGCATCAGGAAGGACAAGGAGCAATTTTGCTTTGCCAGAAATGTCATTGATTGTCCCAACATTTTCCGTGATACTGAGTAACTCTGATGCCAAAAAATATGTTACTCCAAGAAGAAGCACCTTGGATGTAAGACCTCCAAGTGTTGGCCGAACAACACCATAACCCATAGAAACCGTAAGAATAAGAAGACGTGAAACAGTTTTTCTGACAGCCCCAACGGTCACAACCCAAGTGGTTATTCCAATAGGTCGCACACCAGTGTCATTGAAATTTAAGTACTCAAAGTACCAAAGAGTCATTTCAAACAGGCCAAGAGCTATAACTAATGAAATACAATTCTGAAGAGGCAAGATATCCCTCCAGAATCTAATGTACTGAGCAAACCAAATGAAACTGAGTGCCAGATATGCCATAGACATGAAGAAGTAGAATTTCATTAGCGGTGCCATCCTCCCAGGCAGGTAACCATCAGGGTTTTTCCAGATTGTCTTCCCACTCATTGTCAGTCCCCTTAGCTTAGGATCACAAGAGATAAAGAACAAGTTATACATTCCAGTCTTTGTTATATTAACCTGATTAGGATCCATCTTTGTGAATATGTAATCTGCCCTGAAGTGCGTGCTTAATATAACAGGCCAATTTGGATCCACGGAGGATGGTCTTCTGATGACTTCACCTTGTTTGCATCCTTCAAGCTTAGCAAGATCAGGGGTGCAACATATGGACCTTTGCCCCCCGTAAGCAGATCCACCAATGTTATCACGGTCAGATGCTTCAAATATAATAGCCTGGATTAATCCTGTGCTGTGCCCCATGTTTGAGTGCTGTTCGGCTGATTCTTTACTCCTCCAGAACGTGATATTGTCAAACCTGCAATGGTCAATCAATTAAAAAAGAAAGGACATAAAAATATAGAAGGTTGAAGAGAACCTGTAGCTATTAGGCAGAAATAGTAAATAGTCACAAAGCAATTTTTAAAGGATACAAAAAAATCCAATATCTACCAGATTAGAACATTACTTAAATATATAACGAACTTGAAGTTAATAATCAATAGAGGGATTTACAACTCAATGCAGCAAAAACACAAAAAACTTGTCCCCAATTATCATGGGTCAACTAGTGAGTATTCTCTCCACCACTCAGCTCTTTGAGGGCAATCTCAGAGGGTAATTTAATGGACATCATAATCTCTCTGTCAGCCATCATAATCGCTAATTCCTGTCTCCAATCGTGTTTGTGATCTTTTCTATAGTCTAGCACTTTTAATCTGAACAAAGCCACCCCACATCAAATCATAGCTTGCTATTGTCAGTAATAGTTGCTGTTGGACGTCAATATCAATCAACTATCTAAAAATTGTGAATCTTGATGATGATTCAACTTACTAAGGTGAAGTCTCCTAATGAAACAATGACTTGCTTAAAAGTTTAAACCTCATCTCGGTGTACTTGCGAAGCATGTCAAGTGCTTGTGATGAAAGCATACCCAGAAATCTTTTAGTCCAACCCACAGATACATTGTATGCCTTCCCCCGCATGACACCTCGATTCACAGTCCCATGTTAAACTGAATTCTTTCATAGGCAATCTTGCCCAAATCGTGCCGCACAATGTCAACATTTTACACCTTTGCTACACTTGCCACAATCAATAAGCAATCATTCCTAGCACCAAAAAACCTAATGAGATCTTGAAATCTCCATATCTGCTGAACTATTCCAGATAAATATGCCTGTTTTTGCGGCCAACCGATCGTTCAAAGCACATGCAAAGTACAACGCAAATAATTAACCCTAACAAAAAGTAAGCCGCAATCTCATCAATATCCTAAGTTATGCAACTGGCTTTGCAAAATGAAACAGCGACGTTTCACAACAACAACACAAAGGCCTTGCTATGTAGCGCAGTTATTCTTATCTATAGCATAATATGGTCAAGAAGGAATACAGAATCGCTGTCGAATAAACACTTGTGCAGCAAGAACCACCTTAACCCTAGCCGAATCCGAATCTTGTGTCCCAACAAATCATTTCAATCAACACAGATGTAGAATGTGTAACCACCATCTCTTCCAATTCTACAAAGAGCTACAGATCTAATTGCTTCTGCCGGCAAACAACCTCTTTCATCAGATTCCTAGATTATTGCTGATATAGCATAAACAAAAAGGACCGACGAAAGATCGGGAGAAGCTAAAAGAACATAATTCGAGAATAAATGCCGATGAATCGCAATAACTAATGGCGGCTCGTCGAACCACTCTCTCATTGCAATCCAACATCGACAATAATCGGATCCGGAAGCAGCGGAGTATCGAGAAGGAGGGTGAAGTTACTTGATATAAGCACGGCCATCCTCGATCCGAAAGGGGCCACGAGCATCGGGGTCCGACGCAACGATCCCTTCGCTGCCGCCGGAGAGGAGGACGGAGTTGCCGACCTCCCTGAAGGGCTCGAGATCATAGGCGTGGATCGAGGCCGCCGTTCTTGGAACCGCCACAGCGACGGCGAGGAGCACGAGGATTGCGGCGGCGGCCGCCGCGACCAGATCCATGGGAGAGCCGAGACGGAGGAGGGGAGATCTCGCCAACAAGAAGATCGCAGGTAGCGGAGGCGGGCGAGTCGCGAACAAAGAGTGAGAGGTGGGAGACGTGGGAGGCAGCGGGGCCCACCTGGGGGAGATAGAGGAGAGAGACGGGTGCCGCTGGGGTGCGAGAAGGACGGGTGCGGGTAATAATATACTGGGAACGCCCACCACCGACTCCTACTTATAATTGCACCGCAACACGGGCTCTCATCTCTCCGTCCGTCGCTGCTCCAAGATTACACGCACGAATCTCAAAGTTCAAGAGGAATCATCTGAAGCGGCTGTAATAAGAGGAAAGATGGTTTACTAGAACACTGATGTCAGACTTTTGGAGCATTAATTGCAGGTTCTTTAGAGGAAGCTTCTTATGGATTTTTCCCTTAATTATCTAATTAAGTGGAACAATAATTTTAGAAGTGGTATATTCTCTTAAGGTGATGATCGACAGTGACAACTGTATTCATCATCAAAGGCAAGAAAGTGAAGGAAAGGATGTGGGCAGCAGACAATGCAAGATTCACAACCCAAGATCTAAATCCCAAATGTGTCCAAAGATTAGATCAAGAGCTATTATCACATGACAAGGCCTGCCCAACTAATGGTGGATCCCAACCTTGATGTCATCCAAAGCTAAAAACAATGGAGGTGGACAAATGAACACCATCAGTTGTTATGATTAAAGTCTGTGTGTGTGTCTGCATTTGACACTGGAAGTATACACAAGACAACAAGAAGCCATGGGCATTTGAATCAAATGCATTTACATGATTCTTTTGTAGAAAGTTATGCTTTTGTAAAAACTTCATGATTCTTTCTTCCAGGTGAGGATTCAACTGGTCTTTGACTGTGTTAGCCAAGATCAGAGTTGTGGGATGTGATATGATGATGTTCATCTATCTCCAGAGGAATCTTCCAATTAAAACAATACTCCAATGACAACACAATGACCAAACTATACTCCCAGCAATAGAGAAACCATCATTCCACTGCAAAATTGTAGAAGGCCACATACAGTGCAAATGGTTATCAAACAATGCTAACTTCTCTTAGATTTACAGCTATTTCAATCACCGTGTTATTTGTATACAGGTGTTAGATATTGAAGACCAAATCTTGCTTCAGACTGATTCTATTCTGACCTTAAAGCTTAAGCCTCTCTCCAGGGTACTTCTTATCGGATTTGCCAACCTCCACCGTGTTGTGTGTGTCAACTTTCTGACATGTTTCTTTGGTCTGTAGGGGCGTAACAGTGTGGTAATTTTTCTCTTTATCGCTCTTTCTCCTGCACTAAGGAAAGACAAGATTTAGGAAAGGATCACAAAGGAACTTGTGACAATACTGGACCCTCTTATCTCTCACATGATAATGGTATCATACCTCAGATGAAGGAAAACAAGGAGGGCACCAATTAATGTAACACTACCAGCGATCGACTTGAGCACCTTCTTTCCGGGGCTTCTTATTTTGACTACGGTTTCCTCCTTATTGTTCCCACTTATGGTCATCGTCGATGGTAGATTATTTGCAACGTCGTCCATGTCCTATTTATAACAAGAACACTTGATTTGTAAACAGCCTACAATTTTGATTTTTCAAGGAAGGTAACTAAAAACCATGACAAAGATATCTACAGCTTCACCTTTTTTCTTTCTTCATCGACATCTGGAACCATCCGGTTCATGCTTGTGCCAACATCATCTATGAGATGAGCCTCATATCTGACCTCCGAGTTCGTCTCAGCGGTGATATCACCCATAGCTTCAGCTAGAATTTCATGATTTGAGCATGCGAAACTTGCCTGGTCTCTGGTGCAGTCATTGTCAAATTCTGCTGGAGCACCAGTATGGACAGTACTAGAATGGCAGGCAGGTCCCAAAGTGGAAAGAGTTCCAGAGAAGTAGCTATTGTCTGACGTCCCTTCAGCAGCAGCATCTGCGAACATATATTCCATATCAGGAAGATCTTTTGAGCAATGGCTGCAGGATAACTTAGAGTTCATAGTTACTATGGCTACTCCGGACACCATCCCCGAAGTCTCATTTCTGTAGTGAGGATCAAGGTTATTGACACAACATCTCCCAGCAATGTCGTTCTTCATTTGCGCAGAGTTCTTGTATGCAGTATTTGGAATGCTTTTATCCATATGCTGCAAGCACGCACAGGAAGTGTCATGAACGGAAAACACGCCAGTAGGTAGTGATGAATGTATATGTCCAATATTTCTTTCTTCCACATTTAGAGTTTGGTCACTAGATTCTCCAGAAGTTGACATACACAAATCATCTGCGAACAAGAAATTTCCAGCACTATGATTGTAATGTTGAAAATTATCATTATTTGAGACTTTTGCTGCTTCATCGGGGACAAGTTCAGAAGTAGGTGAAAAGCATTGTCCACAATCTATAGCTTGATCAGCAGTCCTCATTTCATGCATACTACTGTCTTTCCCTTGTGAATCATCATTTCCCACTAATAAGCACGATAAGACACCTGGTGGTTCTGAATCAAGAAGAACAATATCAGCATTGTGGATATTTTGACAGGACACATCTGGAGAAGCCCATCCATTTTCAAAAGAATATTCTGGCATTGCATACCCATCAATGGAATTGGCACCATTAGTTTTCAAGTTAACATGAATACTGTTTTGTTCTGTACCTCCAAAATTGTTATATGCCAGATGAGATTGATTCTCATCCTTCTCATCCAGATGCTGTGTCAAGCCTTTGCATCTTGATTTTCCATCATGAGATTGAAACATGTATACAGGACTTCCATCTAGGTCTTCTTCATGCTGAATCATGCACTCAGATTCTTCATTGCCATCAGCAGTACTTATAAGGGTATCAGACATTGAAGATTTGGGTGAGCAATTTTCTGGGACAGAATCCATATAAGATGGAATCTCTGCTTCATATGGCAATTCTGCACAAGATAGAAAACATTTCTCGAAACATTTAATATCACCATTCTGAACTTGTTTCCCAAATCCACTCCACTCTAACGGCTGAAGTCCTTGTTCCTTATCAACAGAACAAGGTGTTGCACTTTCATCTGCTAGCAATTTAGAACAGGAAAATGCTTATAAGATTAAAATATCATGTTTCTCAGTTTCTATAATGCTTATGAAAGGGGAACAATTGGATTAAAACATGTACCTTTTCCATGGTGCTCACTCTTATGTCCATTTTCACCACAGTTGTCACCACCTATGCTTCCTTGGGCAAAAACTTCTCCATCTAAATTGAATATGTTTGAGGTGTCATATGAAACATTCGAGGACGGACTCTCAAGTTCTAACCCATTGAAGCTGCTTTCTGCTTCATCAGACTCAGAACAGTACTCATGGCTCTGATCATGTTGTCCACTGTAACCTTTCTACAGAAAAACAATATTTTTATGTCAGTAATCTTCTCCCAGATCCCACAGTAATTTATGAATTGAAAGCATGCTAACACTTGCTTTTGCCAATATCATTATGAGTCACTTGGAGCTTGCCTGTCTGTAAAACCTTCTAAAATCCATGCTATAGCTACCAGAACTTGATGAACTGCATCTTGATTGCTCCAAACTTCTACGGATACCACCAACCAGATCAGTTGGCATGGCTATTGTGTATGTGACCACATCAAAGTCTGGAACCTATGGAAAACAATGAAAAGAAAACCTAAGTTTTGCAAGATAATCATGTTTGATTGCACAACCAATGAAATACCAGTCATTGCAGTTCTTACACTTAAGTTCTTTAACCTGGCTTTCTTTGAAAGAGAACGAATACACATACAGACTCTGCGAGTATCCCTTTTCTCAACAACATCTGATGGTGAGAACAAATCAACACCAGTTAATTGAAGGATTTGGCAGATCTGTAAACAATGAACAAGCTGTCCAGCATCAGGATCTTGAAAAGAACTTCTTTAAAATGATATCAGGCTTACGGATATAAAAGAACATAACTTCTTGGCTTCTTCCCGACAGCATGACTGTGGCTGTTGGATGCTGTTGCATTCATGCCTATTTCTGTCTGCAAATGAGATACCATTGTCTTTTTGTTTTTCAATCTTCTGTTTTCTTTTTTGTGTGCCATAGTATGTCCAAGAGACAGAAAATAGTTCATGTTTCCATTGTTCCAGTAAACAGAAATAGTAATTTGGAGGAGAAAATGAGTATAACATGCCACAGAGAAGCTTGTACAGTGGCTGGATGGTTAGATCTACAAAATCCTTACTGGCTCCTCAGAATGGGAGGCACTAAAATTACAAAATGCATTTTAGAGGTATGAATGACGGTGAGTTAGCAAATGGAACACAAACAAGTTGAGCATAATTCATCCACAACATGGTGGCTTCGGGCAAGAAATGAAGCAAGGTAGATAGATCATAGATGAAAGGAAAATCATCAATAAGGACCTGAACAAAATCAAAGGAAACTAGAGAAAGAAGGAACAATGATGTAGGATGGCCATTGCATACCTAAGCGAGATAACAATCAACTGACATGATGTGTGTTGAATATTAATCCAATACAAGAGGAAGCAATGACATATTGTATTAGTCGTATGTTCCGCAGTTTTTTACTGATGAAGTAAAGTTGGTCTGATGGAACAAAAAAAGCTTTACATCTAACAAGTTGGTGAATTTTGAATATTGGAGTCACAATAATCCGGTCCGAGTCAGACTTGACAAATTTAAGGTTAACTTTTGGTACTAAATAATAATTGATGGATTTGCATAAATGAATATAGAAATTTATTAAAATTTAAGATTATACCTATCTACTTATCAGCAGACATGAGATGTACCTTCAAAAATGAGTCAACTTTGGGGTAAGGCATGTATTTCCCATCATGCTTAGCAAATGAAGTTCGTTCATATATAAATATTTTTGAACTTTTTAGCTCGACATGCTTCTTTAAGAGCATCTTCCAAACAACTTTTGACACCTGAAAACTGCATGCATCATTGAAAAAAAATAGTAGATTAGAATATATGTGACACAAAAATGTGACTAGATTTTGCAAATATTTTGTGTAAAAGCACATTTTTTTTGTGATCTCATGTATTCTGATATTTATTCTTGTGCTACCTATATCGCAACCTAGGTGGTTTTTA